AAGCCAATCTTTTTTTTTTTTGCTGAGACAGACTGTAACTTCAAGGTAACTGAAAATTGTATCACGTCTCAAGACCAGACAGGGGAGGAGAGCTCCGCTAGACTGTCGCTGTCCGCGGTGCTGAAACTTCAGAACCACGGACACCCGGCGGGAGGCACACGCAGTCATTTCTAAAGATAACTTTTGTCTGAACTCATGCTGCTTATGCTAGTGGTCACTGTTTCAGAACGAACATATTCTGTTTCTTTTCTAATATTGTTGAACATCATTTGCTCCAAGTCTCAGATCTTTAGGCTTCTAAGTGTCTGGCTCTCCTTATTGTTTGTGTGACAGGTATACATGTCTTTTGCAGTAATTTGCTTTGTTGAATCACATATACATTGTAAGAGATTAGGTCTGTGTATTGCTTATTTTGCCAAAAAAGGAACAACAGCACTTGTGTATCAGAAGTGATGTCTCAGTATCTGCCAGCATTTTCTTTCATTACACCTTTTTAAAATACACTTTTACTCTTTTGTTCAGTCTGAACCAGTATCAAACAACTACTCTTAAAATTGCTTATCCATGACTTAATAGTAACAATAACAATAGTGGCTGAACTAATCTCAAACCCATCATTTGACCCTTCTCACGGCCTGCTCTACATTTCCTGCATTGTTCAAAGACACAGTAATAACCACTGACATTCACCCTTATTTCTTTGCCTATAGGTGCAGGTTGAACACCAGTGTATGAGTGAAGGTGGGCTTTATGTTGAGTAGCACCAAATGTTTTGCTGCCTGGGCAGGAGCTTTCTTTTAACTCATGGGAATTGGATTGGTACTGTACCTAGTACAAATGGTTTGTCAAGGCCTAGAGAATAAACTTCTGTCCTTGAGCTGGCGAGGTATAGGAAATTAACGTTGAACTTGAACTGCAAAATTGGGCAGACTGGAGGCAGCAGAGCTTGAAGGGACAAATTGGGTCTGATGGCCTGGCCAGGAGCAAATATAAGGGAAGTGCCAGGTTTCCTTCTACATGAGCTCCTTTGGCATCATCCATAGCCTGGATGGGGATGTTGGACCTGAAAACAGTATATGATAACTAGAATAAAGTTAAAGGAGGCAAGTATTATTGTAGAATGATTGTTTGTACTTAGAGCAAAGCTTTTACACATTTACCAGTAAAATGACTTACCTAAGTATGTGTTCACAAAAACAGATCCTTTCCTCCATGTTCAGACCCAGGCTTATTTAAATAAATTCAGGTAACCCAAGCATAACGTAGTGGTTACAGAGGCAGTTAATAACTGGAAACTTTCAGGTCCATTAACAGCTGGGCAAAGACACTGAAAGCTTGCCTGCTCGTTTTAATGAGCTCAGATGAAGGAAAATGTAAATGTTTAAGACTTTATATAATTTTTCCTTGTTTGGAATCAGTAGCAACTTTTCAATTACTTACTAATTCCTTGGAGAATGAGAAAGAAAACATACATAGTTATTCCTGAGTCAAGGTGTTGTTTATTTTGAACCAAATTTTTGACACACACAAACACCTCTGATCCCTGTGTTGGGTTCACTGTGTCCCTGTTTGGTTGTAGCATAACAAAAATAACACAATCTATCTGTAACACTGCACTGTGAAGACTGTGTGAGAGCGCTGTGACACCTTGTGTCATCATTAAACAGTGCATCATCCAGGTGACTAATCATACCACCTGTCCATCACTGTGCTGCTCATTAGAATCACACCTTGTCACCCAGCTAACAGTAAACTATAGCAGAAGTTTCCAACCTGCAGCAAGAGTCATGTCACTAAAGTATATTCATTTTACTGTATAGAAAACTGTCAGTTAATATCTCTGAACTTAAGTTATTAACTGCAGCCTCATCACCACTGCGGAATACTTGCTGACTTGACTTTTTCTGAACCAATTATGACCTTCTTTGGGGAGGCAGAGACTGTACCAGGCTGTCTTTCTACAAAATTAAGTAGATGGTTTGGTGGTACACTTGTAGCAAAAGGCTGTGTGAAGTCTCCCAGTGTGTGCTCCTCATCCTGCACTATTCTTTTAGATTGCTATTTTCTGGATCCCAGCATACACTAGTTCCACCTCCACCAGGCAGGTAATTACTGCCACATTCACTGACGCTAAGACTTGGAACAGCTGTATGTTGAGTCAGTACAGGGCGGCAGCGGTATTGTTTAAGTGTGTATGTGAATGATATATATATATAGAGTGAGAAAGAAAGAGAGACAATTTGTATGTTTGTAAAGAGAAAAGATGACACAGTGGAGGAAGGATACAGGAAGACAAGGGAAAGTGTGCAGCATTTTCTGCCCATTGCTGTATTGCATCACAAAACTTTTTGTGTGTGTAAGTGTGTAGCTGCCTTTGAACACAGAGGCATTAAAACAGAAGTCTGCTCTCCCCTGATTTACTTTTTTTTTAAATGTAGCACATCTAATTAACTTGTTAAAAACTGACAGTGGGCTCCCACATTGTGCCAGGTGAATGTTTAAAAACTCTTCAGAGCACTGCGCACAACTAAAGAAGTCCTCACTAGCAGATCCTGCTGTCTTGGAGAGGGGAGAGGTTATACAGTACTGTAGCTGTCACTATGGCTCAGTCTCACCATTACATATGTAATACAGTGCCAAGACCTTAATTTCCCTTAATAGATGCTTAATAGACTGAAATTATATGAATACGCTAACTTTTGAAAAGGCAGCTCTGAAGCTGTCTTCAGCTGGGGAGTGACTGTGAAAGAAGTAATGAGTGCAGTTATGAGACTGTGAGGGAGTAATCAATCATCATTGACTGTAGTGCTGCAGGGTGTGGAGGAACACTACAGCACTAACTGTACTGGCAGTGGATTGACACTGCTATTCTCATTTTCTCCAAAGCCCAATTAATATTGAGACTGTTTTATTTCTGGGTGAAAACAAAACAGAAAAATAGTGCTGTGCTGTGCTGCATCTGAGTGAAGCAAGTGGTGCTGTAAGTTTGGTAACATTGTAACTACTTGCAAGGCAAGCAGTGACTGCTGAGCTAATTAGTATAATCAGCTAGCTACTAGCTAGCTACAAGTGCTTTTTTATTTCCAAAACTGAAGTATCAAAGTGCTTCACACAGGGCAGAAAGTAAAAAACAACAACAAAGCTAACAAAAATATCAAAAGGGACCTGGCTGCAGACAAGATGGTGGATTGTGCACTCTCAACCTCAGGTGCAGGTTAAACACCTTTTCCAGAAGAGAGTTAGTGTAAGGGTTATCATTAATCCTAACACCTAATCCTAACCCTAATCCCAACAGTAAATTTAACCATAAAACTGCTGGAGTGAACAACATCTGGCTAATATCACCAACCTCCTGCCAAGGTCAGCAGTCCACCATCTTGTCTGCAATCAGGTTCTCTTGAGGATATCTGGCAATTTATGCTTCTCCAGCAAGTCACTAACCTTGCCTGTCTGCTGTGTGTTTATGGGCTGGTAGCAAGCTGTGGATTTGGAGTCTTTTTTAACTGAAAATACCTGCCTGCTGTTTCACTGTATAAACTTAGAGAACATTTGTGTGCCTTAAGACAACATGTTTTCACTTATGTTAATCAAAAGTAGGTTGTTTCCTTCAGCATCATTAGTTGCATGTCCTGTTAAAGGAAAAATCATGAACATTTACCTACTCAATCACTGTAAGTTCAATATAGCTATAGGCACTGGCTAAGTGTGCAAAATGTAGATTGTCATTCTGAATTAGCAACCCAGTGCTACTAGCTTCAACAAGGATTATAATTAAGAGGACAGACTTTCCAGGCAAACATTGTCTTTGCAGTAAGGGCACTAGATCAATTCTGCACTTGTAGGGGGTGAATACTGTTCTTACAAACTTGTGTGACTTCTGTATAGGAGCCTCCCCATTCATATGGATGCCCCTGCCTTTAAATTACATAAGTAGAGAAACTCCTGTCCCAATCAACATCTCCAGTGCACTGTCCAAATGATCAAGAAAAAGGTATTCACCAGCAAAGTCTGGACTAAGTCAGTAAATAGACCTTCACTAGTTTGGTTCATCATACCTACAATGTAAATTAAACCTTTATTTGTTTGTTTGAGTCACGATTAACAGTTAACACAGTCAAGTATCAAATGACAAAGGGCTCTCTTGTAGCAATGAACTAGCTTCAGAGTTTGTAAAGAGTTTCAGCTCATTTTAACTGTCTGTAACTGTACTGTCACTCTCATCACCTTAAATATTATCAAATAAATATATTTTTGGAGTGCTGTGCAGACAAAAAGAAAATTTGAAGACATCACTTTGAGTTGTTGGTTGTTTTTTTTTTATTTTCAGTTATTTTATAGAGAAAACAATTACGTGAGAATACTTAATTATGACAGCTAATACTTAAATATACTTACTCAAAATGCAAGTTCAACCCTGATTTGTCAGGATTGTAAATATAGTAATAGTCCAGTGAAAATAATCATAAAATAACAGTAGTAACAGCCAAAACAAAATTTACAAGCTGAATCTCACTACATGCCAAAAACAGTTTTTTGTTTTGTTTTGTTTTACATGCATCCAGTCATGTACGTTTAATGTTCTTAAATGAGACGTTTGAGAACAGTAACCCCTCAACATCCGCACCTTAGTACTGACATTCAAACACATTGTGAATTGCATTCATCGTATTTCTTTCTCTGCTGTTAACAGCATCATAAACCACCAGCAGTTGCAGACTTACAGTAAGAGGCATTTGTCCATCCCAGAAAACTTTAGAAAAGGTTCATTGCTGTGACA